TCATGTGTTTAATTGAATTTGGTCATATGTATACAAGAAACATGATTCAATTAACTCATATTCAAGGTGAATATTAATAAGATTATCCATAATTAAAACATACACCAAACTTGAATCCAAGAACATGGAAAAGTATTCACAAAGTAAATGGTTTACTTAAGGGATTCTGCCAACAAGGCCATCCATGTCAAAATTCTACTCTTCCAACGGTGTTTGGTGGAGCAAAATTAGTCTCGCAGATTGACTACAAGAATGGTACTCCTTAACAACATTGGTAGAGGCACGAACAAGTGCATAACCAATGATCTGTTCAATCGAGATGGAAGTAGATTTTGTAGGGTTAAGGTTTGGGAATAATATCCCTTATTCTTGAAGTTTTAGGTCTTAGATGCTAAGGATCATGCTTCGAGCATAATGCCACTCCTTGGCAGGCCCTAATTCTACCATATATTGTAAAAACAAACTCGAAATTTGATGGTGAGAGACACAGACCTTGAATTGGGTTCGGTAGGCTCCAACTGAAGTTTGAGGGGTCTGTTTGGTAGGTCTTTGCAGATGCAAAGTAGTACCATTCGGTTCATTTTTGCCGAAGCAGACCATGTCTTTCGATGCATTCTTGCAGAAGCAAGGCATCACCATTCGGTAGGCTTTGACCGAAATGGGCAGAGCCATTCGGTAGACTCTAGCCGAACTGGGTCCATACCGTTTGGTAAACTCCAGCAAAACTGGGTCCATACCTTTCTTTCACATTTGTGGTAGTAATCAAATCTGAGAATTTGGTAAACTTCCACTTTCTACACTTGTTGCTTCATGGGCGAGTTAGAAGGAAGGACGAGAAAAATATTCTCTAGTCAAAATTTGATCAGATTTATAAACTTCAAAATTGTACACATTCATGGACGTAATCATGGTGTGCTTCAGGCAATATCTTGTACCCCACATAAAGTGGTTGAAACATCCAAATAAGGGAAATCAAACTTGTGACAGTTTGACAATCCATTGAATTGGAGGGAACAAGATTGTGATTGGTTTTATGGGAATGAATCATCCATAAGCATCAAAGTTAGAACATTCGAGTTCTAAGACATGGTTTGCATGAAAAACGTCAAGTTTTCATGGGTATATTGTTTTATGAAAACGGGTTTCAAGGGCACTAAATTTGAAACCACAAGTTCAATTTAGTTTATGAACATTTAATTCATAAAAAAGAGGTTCCTGCAAGAACACATAATGCAATATGTTGATTTAAGTGTAGAAGGTTTGAGTTGCTTCAGGAACTTAAGTGTGAGCACTTCGGGACTACAAAAGTGAGTCCATGGTTCAAAGAAGAAAAATAAAATATTGAATCGTTAATGTCCAAAAGTGGGCTTTAGGCCAATAATTTTGGATGTCATGTCAGATTAATGGACTGCTGATCACTTTTAATTAATTCAATAGATCGGGACCATTCGGAGTCGATCATAGAAGCAAAAATAATAATAACATTTGGGTTAAAATTATTCAAAATGCTAAATAATATCATTTAGTCAAAAAAACCATAGCCCAAAAAATTGGCCTAGGTGAGGTAGGGCAATGCCCTAAAGGCTTGGGTTGGATGCAAAAACAGCCCAAAAGTGGCAATAGGCCAGGGGCCAAGGGTTTTTAAGCCCAACATCAAGTTATTTGCATATGTGGGTTGAGACCATGGTGCGGGAACAAGCTCAGTCGAGGCTGGCTTGAGGGTTGGCTTACGCGAAGCCCAATCGGAGCTGTGTTTATTGGGCTGTGGAACAAGCCTAGCCACATGGGCTGGCATATAGAATCACTAGCCATGGCAGATGCAAAGCCCAGCAAGCACAAAGCTTGTTGGCAGATTGGGCCGAGTTCACAAACACGGGCTAGGAAGTCTACGACGGGCTTCCTTAGGGAGCAGGCTTGGCTTCATGTCGATGCAGGTTAACTAGGCCAAAGGCCTGGTGGTGTCCATGTGGTTGCAGCAAGGCCCCGAGGGCTACTACTATGGTGGAGGTGCGGCGGTGGTGTCGCACAGTGCCCAAATTTTATTTATTTATTTTTTTTTTGGGCATAGTTAGGGTTTGACAAACCCTAAATTACTTCTAATTTATTTATATGCCTTGACTCACAAATTCCACATAGCATAATTCCGTAATGCATGAAATGTATGTAGGTGTGTGTGTGTGTGTATATATATCGACAAATATATGAACATATACAGTATATATATTGGAAGGTAAATAAAAATGTAGGGGGTTCATGCATCATGGGGAATGTTTTCATACTTCATGGTCGTTTCAAATATTTTCCTTTATTTTAAGCGTACCTGATTAGCAGAAAACCACAAAAGCCTTTGAATTTGTAGAAGATCCTTCTCGAAAAGCCAGAATTGCATCTCCAATACATTGTATTACGTTCAACACAGAAAAATTAAATTGACTATATAGCATGTAGATCAATTTAATAAAATAATGGATTAATCATAATAAGAATGATTAAAAAGTGATACTCACCTAATTGAAGATCAAACTCTTGTTAGCTCAGCATCAAGAGCGTGCTAATAACATGTTGTAGACATAATTTATTGAATGATTATGGAGGCCATATAGAGAGAGAGAGGGTGCGGCATATAAAGAGAAGAGAGAGATGTGTAATTGTGAGGTGTGTTCTATTTCATCCCTTTGTGCTTTTATTTATAGTAGTAGGGAAGGTTAATTCCTTACCCTTTTAGGATTACAACTCTTAATAGGTAATCAACTCCTAATAGGAATACAAGAGATATTCCTATATACACTAGGATTTACACAATAACATTCCTAATCTAATAGGACTACAACAATTTCTTATATAATGTGAGTTACTTTCTATTTTTTATAAAACTTTGAACTAGAAAGAAAAATTTAAGAGTGGTTTGATTAATAATTTCATCTCAGCGTAAACTTTATGTTTCTTTTTTCTTATCTTAAGGGCATGTTTTCATTTAGGAGGTTGATTTTTTTATAATATTAAAAAAAAACAAAATCAAGAGTGCTTGCAGTTGTAGTTTCATTGTTAGCCACAACAAAAATAAAACTATGCATTTCAACTTAAATAGCAGTAAACCCAAGAATTGCATGCTTCTTTCTTCCTCGCGACTTTTTTGAACCGTTGCTTCTGCAATGGTCGCTGCTCGCACCGGAAAGTCCGATATTTCGACTTATTTCTTCGATATTTGCCAATAGTACCAATATTAAACGGATATTCGCTTATGTCGGTGGGGTGGATTCTTGCCGATAGTATCGATAAAAAAAAGTTGTGGGGTAGTGCAGCAACAACGCTCTGTGTTGGTTTCGTTCAAGTTCAAAGAAATCAGGGTGCGAATTCTCGCTTTTAGGGGTCAATTTTCGACGATGGAGATGCGGCCGCACCTCCTTATGCCTTTATGACTTCACCATTGATCACAAAGCAAAACAAACAAAAAATAATGATCATAGAAAGATATAAAAAGTTAAAAATCAAGAAAATTACAAAATAAAATTGATAAGTATTGACAAACTAGATTTGTTAGTTTGCACTATTAGATATTAAAATTGTATCAATTTTGTCTTTGACCGAATTGGTTGTTGAACTTTCATTAAATTGATCAAATAGTGTGCTTGCACCAAATTGATGGAAAAGAAAAACCTTCACTTACAAATGAAAAAGAATACTATGAAACCGTAATACTAAGCAGCAATGACACTAGATTTTTTTTTTTTTAACCAACGATATTATCTATGTTAAAGGGTAAGATGTCCAAATTTTTTTTTTTTAACAAGTGTGTGTAAGAAACTAAATAAGATGTATGTTAATCATGTTCCTATATCTTTATCCTATTACAAATAGATTAAAATTTAGAATTTTACAATTTATCATAGATAGTATTATTAGTCATAATAAATCAGTATAGAGTAATTTTATTTGATTTTTTACTATACAAAATTGATAATGAAAAGGATTGATGTGTAAATTTTGTGTGTGAATACAATTTTCTTTATAAAAGTGAAAGCTAAGTTCAAGTAAATTGCGGAGAATCGAGTTTTAGTGAAAAAATGGCTAGTCTATTCATAATTTTCGACTCCGTATTAAGAATAACCCATTTTATTGAAATAGGTCTCATCCATGAGTTTAGGATTATTATTTCTTTTTGTTATTATTTCTTCTTCTACATGCTTTAAACCCGATTCATAACTTTTTCTTATAATCAACCCATCTCATACTAATTGTTTATGTTTTTGTACATTTAACCCTATATTATGCAGGTGAGTTTATGTTAATTTTAGTATTTTGTTGGAAGTTATTAGAAAGATTGAAAATTAAAAAAAAGAATAGATGGAAAATTAAAATAAAAAAAATTAATAGTAGGGTGCAAATTGACTAATTATGAGAGTTGAGGGGAGTTGAGGGGGAGATTGACTAATTATGAGAGTTGAGGGGGGGAATTGGCTAAAATTAAAGTTGAGGGGGGAAATTGACCAATGGTCACAAGTTCAAGGGGGAAAATGATGAATACCTCTTCTTTTAACACTACCACAAATAGTGGCGAAGCTGGGAGTTGTTCGGAGAGAGGCAAAATTTAAAAGGGTAAGATGTCCCAAACAAATTTAGACAACCAAATCCTTTTAGATAGTAAACAATGTTAATGTCGTTCATAATATATCAATACATTGCTGCCGCGCGAGGTTTTATGTCATGAAAGAGTCGCATAATAGGCTCATTATAAATAAAAGCAAAAACACCTCTCTCAGTGTAAACAACCATACTATTACTCAATCATTCATCTCCCATTTTGTTTCACATTGGTGTTTTCACAATATCCAAGGTTTTAAATACCAACTTTTGTGAAAATACCGATAGCTTAATTTACAAATATATTGGCGAATATTTTGAGAAAATATTTGTCTATGAACAATATTTAGTATATAAGCTAAGTAATATGTATCTTAGTATAGTTGGTGTCAGAATATGGGATCCATGAGCAAAGCTCAAGTGGCATGGGATGAGTGAGGTGTAGGGAGAGGTCTTTAAGTTTGAATATCTGTGTTTGAAAAGAAAATGAAAGAATGTAGGCCGTAAGACAGTGATTTCTATCTACTCTAACATTCCTCTTGGTAACCAACTCATCTGTAATTGTTAGATCTCAGTTGGAAAATTCACTTCCTATACAGTTGGCCAGTTGTTTTAGTTGCTGTTTTAGTTAAACCACATGATTGCAATTGTTTAAATGTTTATTTATTTTTATTTTTTTTCACATCTATTGAAAAATATACTATAGGGTTTCTTTGCATAACTTGCGCAGATATAGAAATAAGTTTGGATAATTTTATCATTTTTCATGTATGTCTTAATTTTTTGGAGGGTTATCTGCCTTCGTAATGTTATGCTCAATTTATTGTTGTGCATTCAAGGATATTGAGAAACCTTGGGAAGTTATTCTGCATGGAGAATTGTAGACTTTGTACAACATTTGACCTGCTACTTTGGAAACTTCAAGGTTGAGTTGAATGCAGTGAGTGTAATGACAAGTAATGTGACATCTAAATGTGTTTAGTTTAATTGTGGTGAGCCTCGTTTTCCCCTGCTTTCTTCTTACCATATTAAAACAACTCATTCTTGCCCTGATGCATCCACTTGATGTCAGAGTCAGACCTTGGTGGATGCTCGCAATCTTTGACATCAAAGATTTAAATACATATTGTTGATGTTCAGTCATTGGCTTTCCAAGAACTCGTCTTAGATTACGTTCTACATATATATGGTTTGATGTATTATACAACTCTTACTTAATTTTGTTTTCCTTTCTATTTTCAGTGCTCGAGACAAGAAAGAGGTTGCTTTATGCATTAAAGAGTTGAACTCACCAAGCTTCCATCCGTCGATGATATCTCTTTGGGTCACAGACTCTTTTGAGAGGAAGGACGCTGAAAGACATCGTTTGGCAAAGCTTCTAGTCAACCTTACAAAGACCCATCATGGAACTGTGAGTCAATCTCAGCTCATCAAAGGGTAAGGGAAAGTTTCCATCTGCATTTGGTTATTGAAATTGACGGTCTTCTCGGTATTGTGAGTTTTTCTATTATTTATTTTCTTCTTTTATCTGCCCAGGTTTGAAACTGTTCTGTCGACCTTAGAGGATACCGTGATTGATACCCCGAGAGCACCAGAGTTTCGTGGCCTTGTCTTTGCCAAGGTCATTTTAGAGAATGTCGTTTCCTTGAATCAGATCGGTCAATTAATACACGAAGGTGGAGAGGAGCCAGGGCATCTTCTGGAAGTCGGGCTTGTAGGCAACGTTCTTGGGAACGTCTTGGAGATTATCAAGTCAGAGAAGGGAGATAACGGTTTGAACGAGATCCGTACGTCCTCCAATTTGCGGTTGGAAGCCTTTCGTCCCCCAGATCCTTTCAAATCAAGGATTCTAGAGAAATTTATTTAGTGATTAGTGATGCTCATTACAATCGTGCTAGAAGGAATTCATGAGTAGTAGGGTTCAAAAACTCATAATTATATGCCTGCAATGAAGAACTTTTGTACCGAAACTATGATTACAATATACATAATATCGTGTATGTATTTTATTATATCCCAAAAAAATGTAACTATACTGCAAATTCATATGTATTTGTAAATTATTAAGACCTCAAAACTTTGCATTTTCTTTTTGTATTTATTTCAGTGAAGTGTATTTTTTATTTTTTTGAAATTATTGTGAATAGAGCCATTGGTTGAATGGTTCGGATGTGTATTTAGGATAGGTTATGATGAAACAAATGCTTCCTCCCATCCTTTCAATGAATATATTGTGTGTTGCGAGAGAAAAGTAACAAGTGTTGTGGTCAATTTTATCTGACAAAGGGAAAGGGGCTGGCGGCAGAGAGGGAGAGAGAGTGTAGAGAGAAATATGTGTTTGTAGGAATGTAGGGAATGTGTGTGTTATCCCTCCTACATAGTGCCTTTATTTATAGTAATAAGGGGAAAGGAATCTTTTATCCCCAAGGAATACAAGTTGTAATAGGAAAGGATAACTAGAATCAAATCTAATCTAGGATTTACACAATCACACTTTAATAGGAAGTTTACAACACTCCCCCTTGAGTGTGTAAATACTCAAGGTAAATTCAGCATTATGTAGAAGTTGAGGAAGTCGACTCATTGACATTGATTCTAAGGAACACACTATTCTCAATAAGGTAGGAACTTACATAAGGAAGTAAGTCCCACAAAAAACCCTAAGGTTATGGCAAAAACCAGAGTAGGGACAAAATATGTAGTATAAGGAAAAATGCGTGAGTAATGCAAAGTCAAAAGAAACGTCTACGGGGCGTCATCAGGGATATGATCAACCCAAGGTGGGTGCCTCTTTAAAGCCTAGTTAGGTAGCAAATACCCAATGGAAAAAATGCTAGTAATCGTAGGGAAAAAGAGTACATTAAGATCAAGCAAGTATTCTTCAGGATACTCCCTTGAGTTTGACACAATTTCAAAGAGAACTAGCAATGTTACAACTCAGAAAGTTTACGCATACCAATTCCTTGAACAAGCTTCTGAAACGTCGCCTTCGGCAGTGATTTGGTGAAGAGGTCGGCCAGATTGTCTTGTGAACGGTTTTGCGTGACTTCAATCTTCTTGAGTTGTTCGATGCATGCTGCATTGTCTTCATAGATTGTCATCGGGATATCAACGGCAGGGTAAAGATCACAGGAGCTTCGAACATGGCTTACTACTGCTCTCAACCAAAAGCATTCCCGAGTTACTTCATGTAAAGCAAGAATTTCAGCATGGTTAGACGAAGTGGCAACTAAGGTCTATCTCGTTGTGTCATCCTCATTATGTTAGACATATATCTAACATGTTCTTCCAATAATACATTATTAATAGGAAGAGGATGGGACTACTTGCATACATATACAATCCATTCAAGACAAAACTATGGGATTGTGGTACCAAGTACGAAAACTAAAGCCTTCGGCTTTTCTTTGTCAAGTTTTGGATAGCGTGTTGCAATTATATCGGTAAACAATACATAACGAATATAAATTGATTGATTTTAAACCATTTGATCCGGGTCTTTAAATCAAATAGCACTACCCACGTTTGGTCAAATGTCCTATCCTTCATTGAAATTCAAGAGTTTTGGAGGAAACTCTTAATAGGGTATGTGAGGCTCACCATTACTATGCCCACCTCATCAAATCTAATAATGAGCTAGCATTAATAATGATGAGAGAGTACACTTACTCATTTACATCTTATGTAAGTACCCATCTTATTTGGCCTCTAGAGAATCTATGCCTCAAAATGCTTCTCGTTGGCACTTCATTCACTTAGTTAAGTTTTATCCACCATGCTTGTTAGTGTAGGGGTTTAAGTATGACCTCAGAATGTCTTCTTATAGGTCATACTCGTTGCCTACCTTGACAACATCAAATGCGTACAATAGACTCTTGAAATGTAAATGTAGGCTTTGCGCCCCCTGTAATGTAGGGTTAAAGCACGGTGCACTTGCGTACATTCGAAAAGAGCCTCCTATGGGGGAAGGCCACGAAAGAATGTTCAAAACACCCTCTCACTAGTCAACATAATATTTGATTGGTTGAGGGTTTTTGCTCTTCACATATAAGCATGCATTTTAATCACATTAAAACAATTTGGTCCTATTACAACTATAAGTCCATGTGATTGATTTAGTAGCATATGATCCTTCCGCTAAGCTTGTAAAACATTTTTAAAGCAAGATTATATGGTACTACTAACATAAACTTTGTATTCTGTGACGGACTGTATAGTTGCCTTTAAGGCCTTAGGATGACTATTAACCTTTAACTTGATCCAACACATCCAACACAAGTTAGTGTTGGATCTCGGTCTAGGGATGGTGATTGATTTTAGTACTACAGTCAAGTGGTATTCCTTTTCAATTAGGTGTCTTGGTGATTTTGGGACTATTGTTTGGTTAATCAGTCTCCAAGTTTTGTTCATTTGGTCGGCTTCTGTGTATTGGTATTGTTGGCCTTTAGTCTGTTTTGAACCATGGTTAAGGGATATTTGCAGAAACCATAATCGTCCAAGTGGTGTATGTGCAAAATTCCCAATCGAATTTTTATTAAAACAAAAAGAAGAAAAAGTTTAAGATATTTAGTAAAGATCAACCATGACATCCATGCTTTTGGTAAAGATAATAGTTGTAAAGGCCAAAGTCACATTATTGGAGACACTTTACACCACAATCGAATCTTTATTAAAACAAAGAAGAAGACAAAGTTAAGATGTTTAGTAAGATCCATCTGGAAAGACATATTCTTTCATTCTTTATAGATGTCCATTTTTCTTTTCGCATGGAAAGTCACATTACTGGAGAAACTTACATTTCAATCGAATCTTTATTAAACAAGGAAGAAAAGAAGTTAAGATATTTTGTAAAGATCGATCTTGACTTGTAAGTGAGATGTCTTAAGTTCGATTCTCACCAAAGGTGAATTTAAACCATGTTATCGCTAGCCCATTGTGAGGTTTAGCCCACCCCTTTAGTGTAGACAATATCGTTTGTTAAAAAAAAAAAATTTAAGTAAAAAAAAAACATAAGAGGAGTACTTTTAAAGTAAAGAAGAGCTCGTGCTCTTTTACAACATTTGATCATATCAAATTACAACCAAAATCTAATCTACACATTCCCATGGTTCAAACAAATTTGAGAGATGACCTATCACCTAACTCAATTATCGTAGGCTTAGGTTCATAATCACCATTTTTTTGATTAATTAAAACTTTAACTAATTAAACTTGAATGCAACAATGTCATTTGGTCTTTGTATCCGTAGAATTGATTTAAATAGAGATAAATGAAATGAAAATCCAACTCTCATTTAAAAAGAAGACTATTTTGTTCTTATCCTAATTTGGGCCAAAATGCAATAACCTCAACTTGGGCTATAATGCAAAACACATACTTTTGGGGTTTTGTAAAAACACAAAAGTTCACTTCTTCATATAATTATAACTTTTTGAATAAAGAGTCTTGCTGGACTTGCTTTTTAGGCGAGTCCTGCTGGCATTTCTCTAATAGAAAATCAGCAGCATTTAAAAATTAAGGGGGTATTCAATTAAGATTTCAAAGAAGTTTATAGAGTTCCACATAAATCCGGGTATATTCTTCAATATTTTAAAGTAGTCCATAAAACTCGATGTGTATTCAATAAGGATTTGATTTTAAAGTATTTTAAAGAGTGAAGAATTTTATAATGTTTTTTAGGCATTAGGAAATTAGACCTCTCTCCCATTTTGAATGAATTCACCTAAAACTCACTTGAAGTCTACGAAACCCCATTAAACTTCAAGGATTTATACTTCTTTTTCAAATCCTTCAAACACTCAATAGAATACATCTCCTAAAGACGAAGATAAAGATTAAAAGGTAAAAGAAATTGAAACTAACAATGAACAATAATTTTTTAAGAAATTGACTAGTTAGTAATTGAAAAAGAATGAATTAACATAATTAAATTTTCATAAGAGAAGCGGTAAACAAGAACAAAACTCATTAGATGACCTGTGCATATAATAGAAAATTATCGACACGCGGTAAACAAAATGACACATGGGATTGATGCACTAAGGGAGAGATGTGTACATCTTTTTTGTTAGGCTAAGATGCTTCAGTAAAACACAATAAGAAGATACAATGGACAACTCAAAATGGTCCATCCAAAACACAAACATAAATATCAAGACACAAAAGCTTCATCAAAAGATATTGTTGCCTGAACAGTACCACAAACAGTGGCGAAGCCAAGAGTTGTCCGGAGAGGGGCAAAATTTAAAAGTGTTAGATGTCCCATAAAAAGACAATAAAATCCTTTTAGATAGTAAACAATGTTAATGTCATTCATAATTTATTAATAGATTGATACCAACAAGGTTTTATGTCATGAAAGCGTCACATAATAGGCTCATTATCAATAAAAGCAAAAACACATCTCTTAGTGTAAATGACCATACTATTACTCAACCATTGATCTCCCATTTTATTTCGCATTGGTGTTTTCACAATATCCAAGGTTTTAGATATCAATTTTTGTGAAAATACCGATAGCGTAACTTACAGATATATCGACGAATATTTTGAGAAAATATTTGTATATGAACGATATTTGGTATATAAGCTAAGCAATATGTATCTTATTATATATCATTATATACCCTGTTTTACACATGTATATGTAACCAAGTTTCTTTTAAGAAAATATATAACATGCGCATTTCTTTAATACAAGCGATGCTACTAAAAAGAAAAATACATTTTTTATATAATGTGAGTTACTTTCTATTTTTTATGGAACTCTGAACTAGAAGAAAAATTTAAGAATGGTTTGATTAATAATTTCATCTTAGCGTAAACTTTATGTTTTTTTTTTCTTATCTTAACGGCATGTTTGAGGTTGATTTTTTATTTTATTTTATAATATTTGGAAAAAAAAAAAAAAAAAAAAAAAGGAGAAGAAAAAATCAGAAGTGCTTGCAGCTATAGTTTCATTGTTAACCACAACAAAATTCAAACTATACATTTCAACTTAAGTAGCAGTAAACCCAAGAACCGCATGCTTATTCTTCCTCGCGACTTTTTTGAACCGTTATTTCTGCAACAATCGTTGCTCGCATCGGAAAGGCTGATATTTTGACTTATTTCTTCGATATTCGCCAATAGTACCAATATTAAACAGATATTCGCTTATATCGATGAGGCGAATTTTTGCTAATAGTACCGGCAAAAAAAAGCCGCGCACAGTGCAGCAGCAACATTCTATGTCTATTTCGTGCAAGTTCAACG